GGAGACCCGGATGCAGCAGACATCCCGACCCCACGCAATTACGCAGAGGCAATTGAGGGACCCTACTCTTCTCAGTGGCAGACAGCCAAGGACGCAGAGATGGCTTCCTGGAAGTCCACATACACCTACGTCGACGAGGTTCCCCCACCTTGGGCGAACATCGTTAGTGGCATGTGGATTTTCATAGTGAAGCGGCTGCCGGATTCTCCACCTGTCTTCATGGCGTATTAGGGCGCGTAACCATTTTGCATTTTACGTTTTCGACGGATAGTCCGCTTAGAACAAAGCGGACGGTTCTATTCTCGAGAACGGGACCGTTCGAATCAAAAAATTTCAACTTCGGACTGTCCAAAGGCTAATGTGACACTTTTTTGGGGTTGTTGATTTTTGCGACTACTGTAGCCTCATTAGAGGCCTTGTATCTTCGTAACTTACCTCGCAACATTTTCGGTATTAGCTTCGTTGGCGAATCGGTATGATATACTGTACATTAAAATTCGCCCACCAATACCTAGCCAGAAATGGTGGACCGTCTGTTTGGGTTTCGGACAGTCCACGGTTCACAAAGCGGAGTGTTGGAAATGTGAAAAAGTGTCACGACAGTCCGTTAGGTTGGCGACGTCGCCAACACCTCCGCGAAGACCTAAACAATAATCAGCGAATCCAGTTACATTTCGTCACGACGGACCGTCCGCAGTTCGAACCGTCGGGTGCAAAATGGTTACGCGCCCTTACGTTGCTCGAGGCTTCAGTCAACAACAGGGATTTGACTTCTTCCAGACCTTCTCCCCTACCCCAAAGATGACCACTCTTCAGGTGCTACTGCATGTCGCCGCTCAACGTAACTACGAGCTTCACTCTCTTGACTTCAGCACAGCCATCCTATAGGGCAGCCTGTACGAGGAGATCTGGCTGCGCCGCCCACCTGGCTTCACTGGGTCGTTTCCTCCTGGAACCCAGTAGAGCCTCCGGCGGCCAGTCTACGGTCTCCGCCAGGCGCCTCGCGAGTGGCACGACACACTGAGGAGGTCGCTTTCGGCTCTTGGGTTTGCTCCTTCGACTGCTGACCCGTCGTTGTTTCTACGCACCAACACTTCTCTGTCGCCGTTCTACATCCTCGTGTATGTTGACGACTTGGTCTTTACCACTACTGATACTGCTGGACTGACCTTTGTGAAGTCAGAGCTGTAGAAGAAACACACGTGCACTGACCTAGGTGAGCTGTGTAGCTATCTTGGCTTGCAGATCACCCGGGACAGAGCACAGCGCACCATTACCTTGACTCAGTCACACATGGTGCAATAGGTCCTTCAGCGCTTCGACTTCCAGTACTCCTCGCCACAGTCCACTCCTCTGCCTACCGGTCACTCGCTCTCAGCTCTGTCTTTGGATGAGTCCGTAGAGCCGAGTGGCCCGTATCCAGAGCTTGTGGGCTGCCTCACGTACCTAATGACTTGCACTCGACCTGACCTTGCTTACCGTCTTTGCATCCTGGCACGCTACGTTGCGCCCGGGAGATACCGACCAGAGCACAAGAAGGCCGCTAAGAGGGTGATGCGCTACTTGTGCAGTACGTCGGGCATGGGGCTTGTGCTTGGAGGACGGGCTCGAGTTGTTCTCACTGGTCACGCAGACACTTCTTGGGTTGATGACTTGGCTACTCAGCGGTCGTCACATGGTTACACTTTCAGCCATGGCGCCGGCTCTGTTTTGTGGCAGTCTACTTGCTCGTCTTCTGTTCTTAGTTTCAGTTGTGAGGCTGAGGTCTACGCAGGGACCATGGCTGCACAGGAGTTACGCTGGCTCACCTACCTGCTGACTGACTTGGGAGAGCAACCTCGTTCCCCCCCAGTTCTGTACGTCGACAACAAGGCCATGCTTGCCTTGTGTTAGAAGCACAGACTGGAGCACTGAACGAAGCACATCGCTTTGCGCTACTTCCTTGCTCGAGAGCTGCAGAAGCGTGGTCAGCTTCGTCTTGCTTACGTGGCCTCACGGGCCAACACTGTTGATATCTTCACCAAGGCACTTGCACCTTGTAATCATCAGCGTTTCTTAACTGTTCTAGGCGTTGTGCCCACTTGGCCTCACTTGCTCACTTCTTGTTTGTTTGCTCACTTCTTGGCCTTGTTTGTTCTAAATACTTGTACTTGCATGTTTACACTTGCTAGGTTTTGATCACTGTACTACTTGTTCTACATTATATAACTACGCATTTGAACTGGCCTTGTGGCCTTTTGCTTGTGCTCAGAATGTGTGGTGACTTCGTGATCCACCCTGAGCTTGCTTTGTTTTGTCGTTTCTCTTGACTGGTCTGGTGACCATTGCTTTCTCTAGCTATCCCCCATTTCGCCTATAGGGGTGTGTCAAAACATGTATGCTTATGTTGTTTAGGCTATATGAGTGTTAGCACTAGGGGGTACTGAATTTCACTCGATGTTGTTCTTGTACCCCTCCCCTTGACCTATTCTTCTCGACAATAGCATGCTGCGATCAAAGGTTCGATCATGCGTAAGATCACCTCATGATAATTCGCGGAGAGTGCGTTGGAGTAGAAAAAATTGATCTCAGGTCAGACTGAACTTTAAATGGCTGTAATAGTAAAAGCATGCAAATCAGGCCCTCAGATTGGTTTCAGGGCAGGCTGATGGATTAGCATGCCCTGCCCAGAGTCGTGATCAAATCAGCATTGGGGGTTAAGTTTATGCTGATTCTGTGAGGGTAAAATTTATGGCTAACTGAAAAATAAGTGTAAAGTGTCAATTTGAACTTCACGACCAGTACTACAAGTGTAGCTCTCTGAGGTTTTCCCAGTTACCTGAAAAGTCCGTCGTTCGAGTCTCATGTGTGTGAGGTTTACAAGAGTGTGGAGGGAATTTCCTCCCCGAATCTCAATGTATGCGCACCCCAAATTCTGTAACCTATACATTTTGGTAGTCTGAATCAGTGTTACTCGGTACACTATACTGATGCTTCGGTGTTACTGGTACACCTAAACACTAATTCGTCAGGTTAGTCCTATACTCTAAACTGAAAAAATCAATGCAAACATGAAGAATATGTCAGAATGTTATGCTCTAGCCTGTAGTGGGGTCCTCTATAGCGAGTACAACCGTTCTAGGGTTTGCTATTTGTATCCTCATTCCTGCTAGTGAACTCCTTTTTGCCTAAACAGTTTCTTGCCTAGCTAGGGCTTTCCTAGCTATGGCTCCTACTTCTGTCTACTATTTTCACATAGTATTAGAGTGATATGCTCCTGGCCTGTGGGCCCCAACTCACTGCTTCCGCTGCTACTGCTACTCCCTGTCCGCCGCGCGCCCCGTGGTGCGCGGCGTCGAAATTAGGGTTTTCAGCCCGCCGTGCGCCCCGAGGCACACGGCGGTTTTCTGCCCGCCGTGCGCCCCGAGGCGCGCCGCGGTTTTCTGCCCGCCATGCGCCCCGGGGCGCGCGACGGGTTTCTGCCCCGTCACTCGGCGCGTCGCCCCCAGGAGGCGCTGCGACGGGCGACGAGGACCCGCGCGTCGCCCCCTGTTGCCCGTCGTGGCCTGCGCGCGGCCCGTAGAGGCTGCGCGGGGCCCGTACGGGCTGCGCCAGGCCCGAACGCGGCCTGTACGGGCTGCGCCAGGCCCGCGCGCGGCCCGTAAGTGTTGCGCCAGGCCCGCGCGCGGCTCGGGCCGCCTGCGCGCGGTTCGGGCGGCTGTGCCAGGCCTGTGGGCGGCCCGTTCTTCGCTGCCCCTGCACTGCCCGCTGTCCCCCGTGCCTCTGATGGCGCCCCACCCCTGCTACTGCTTGTGCTCCTGCATTAGGGTTTGGGGGTGGAGCGTGTGGGGGTATGGGGGTGCAGTTTTGTCGGATTATTATAACTGATGCATGTTTGTAGGCTATAGTGGGGTAGCACATATGGGGTACAGCTTTCTAGGGTTGTATTTGTACCCAACTCTGACTTAGTCATTCATTCCTGTTTTCCTTGCTTCACATGGTATAGAGCGGGTCCTGCCTTAGGACCGTTTTTTTTTAGGGCCCACCGAAGCGCGCCCCGAGGCGCGCCCTTTTTTTTTAGCGACCCCTCGGGTCGCCTTTTCCCTCGCGGCCCCCGCTGTCCCTCAGACGCGGCCCCGCCACCTCTCCTGATCGCGGCCCCGCCGCCTGCTTGACGCGGCCCCGCCGCCTCCCCTGACGCGGCCCCGCCGCCTCCCCTGACGCGGCCCCGCCGCCTCCCCTGACGCGGCCCCGCCGCCTCCCCTGACGCGGCCCCGCCTCTACTGCCGCGGCCCCGCCGCCGCCTCTGACGGCCCCGCCGCTGCACCCTACGACCCGCCGCTGCTCCTGCCGGCCCGCCGCCTCACCTGACGGCCCCGCCGCTGCTCTTGCCGGCCCGCCGCTGCTCCTGCCGGCCCGCCGCTGCACCTGCCGGCCCGCCGCTGCACCCAGCGGCCCGCCGCCTCTGACGGCCCCGCCGCTGCACCCTTCGGCCCGCCGCTGCTCCTGCCGGCCCGCCGCCTCACCTGACGGCCCCGCCGCTGCACCTGCCGGCCCGCCGCTGCACCCTACGGCCCGCCGCTGCACCCTCCGGCCCGCCGCCTGCACCTGCCGGCCCGCCGCTGCACCTGCCGGCCCGCCGCTGCACCTGCCGGCCCGCCGCTGCACCTGCCGGCCCGCCACTGCACCGGTCGACCCGCCGCTGCACCTGACGGCCCCGCCCCTGCATCTCCCGGCCGAGCCGCCCTAGCAGCCGAACCGCCCGGGAGCCGAGCCGCCCAACGCCGAGCCGCCCGGGACCCGAGCCGCCCTGCCGCCGAGCCGCCCGGGAGCCGGGCCGCCCTGCACCCGAGCCGCCCAGCCGCCGAGCCGCCCGGGAGCCGAGCCGCTGTGCACCCGAGCCGCCCGGTCGCTGAGCCGCCTTTCTGCATAGCTGCACGACCTGCCCTGCCTGGTGAGCACTGTCCCACTGACACTGCGAGCTCTTTCCCTACTGCTTGCACTGCGTCGCTGTCGTCGCCATGGCTACCCCTAGTGTCCTAGCTTTTGACGCTGAGGGTCGCGCCATTGATTTTGAGGTCTGGTTAGACGACCTGCAGCTGTTCTTACAGTGCGACAGGGCTGACGACCTTTCTCTCTTTGACCTCACCTCTGGCGCCTCTCCTGCTCCTGCTGCTGATGCTGATCCCGCTGTCCGCTCTAAGTGGGCCACCCGCGATGCTGCTGCACGTCTTGCTGTGCGTCGCCACCTCCCTACCTCTGAGCGTGCCCACTTTAGTCAGTACAAGAGTGCTCAGACCTTGTACGACGCTGTAGTTGCGCGCTACTCCTCCCCTGCCACTGCTGCACTGAGCCGTCTCATGCTTCCCTACCTCTTTCCTGACCTCTCTGCCTTTCCCACTGTCGCTGACCTCATTACGCACCTCCGCACTAGTGACACTCGCTACCGCGCCGCCCTTCCTGCTGAGTTCTGCGCTAAGAACCCCCCCCCCATGTACATCGCTCTCTACTACGTAGTCGCACGCCTCCCTGACTCCCTTCGCGTCGTCAGGGACCACTTTCTCGCAGTCTGTCCCACCACCCTCACCGTCGACCTCCTCGAGAAGGCCCTCCTCGCAGCGGAGAAGAGCATAGTCGCTGTAGGTGCTTCTCGTGGTGACCCTCGCACCCCCATCTTTGAGGGGTGCTCTCCTTCCCCCTTGCTGCCCTCTGTTGCCTCTGCTGCTGCTGCCGACCTGCTTGGTCTTGAGTCGGTCGGCGCGGCGTCTGCCCCTAGTGGGAGACGTCGCTCCAGCAAGGGCAAGGGGGGCAAGGGCGCGGGTGGAGCTGGAGGGGGCGGTGGCGGTGGCGGCGGTGGCGGCGGAGGGAGTGGGGGTGGCGGCGGGACTAGTGGTGGAGGTGGTGGTGGTGGTGGCAGCAGTGGCGGAGACGGTGGTGGTGGTGCCAGCGGTGGTGGTGGAGGCAGCTGCGGTGGTGGAGGCGGCGGAGGTGGAGGCGGTGGAGGCGGCAGCGGAGGAGGCGGTGGTGGTGGAGGAGGTGGAGCTGGTCGAGGTGGTACCCAGCAGCGTAGCGGCGGTGGTGGTGGCCAGCGCTCGCAGCGGCAGCAGCAGCAGCGCTCGCGGGACATCCCTCCGCCTCAGCAGCTTCGTGAGTGGTACGCTGGGCGTCAGAGGGGTGGGGGTACTGGTCCCTGCACCTACGTTCTTCGTTCCGGCGACCGCGCGGGTGAGCAGTGTGGGGGTGCCCACGCCACCCAGCGCTGCTTTGGCCGCCTGACGGACGCTTGGCGTCAGCAGTTCCCTGGGGCCAGTGAGATCCCTCGCTGGGATGAGCTTCTCAGGGCTGGTGTAGCGATCTTTGATCTTGATTTTGATGCTATCCTTGCTGCTATGTATGTTGTGGATTATAGTGAGGAGAATGAGGGTTACCGTTGTTTCCAGCCCGACCCGGGCATTGGTACTGCTGCGCTAGGTGCTTGTGAGGCTGCTGCTCTAGGTGCCAGTGCGTCTGTGCTCTCAGGTACTGGTGAGACTGCGCTCTCAGGTACTGCGTCGTCCTCGTCCTCCCTCACTTTCACACTTGACTCCGGAGCTTCTCGCTCCTTCTTTCGAGACCGCACTACCCTTACGCCGCTCGGCCGGCCAGTTGCGGTCTCCCTTGCTGACCCCTCTGGGGGTCCTGTCCTGTCTCACTTCTCCACTGTCCTCCCGTGTCCGGCTGCCCCTTCGGGCACCCTGTCGGGTCTGTACCTTCCCTCGTTCTCTACGAACTTGGTGAGTGGAGCGGACCTGCAGGATGTGGGGGTTCACCAGTTCACTCCTGCGAGTCAGCGGGTGACCCACTGCACGGAGGCACGCACAGGCCGACACCTGGCCACGTTCTCGCGTCGGCCGGGGTCGAGTCTCTACACCCTGACCGTTGAGTCTCCTCCTGTCCCTGCGTCTGGTCAGGTGGCTGCGTCGGGTCAGGTGCTTGCTGCTGCGTCCCGGTCAGGTCCTGAGTCTGCCCCCTGTTCTTGTCGCCTCCTGTCTCACGAGACTCTCCTGTGGCACCACCGTCTTGGCCACCCCTCCTTGCCCCGTCTTCGGAGCATGGCTTCCCGTGTCCTTGTCTCTGGTCTTCCCCAGTCTCTCCCTCCTCTCCCCTCCGGGCCAGGACCTTCCTGTGTCCCCTGTGTCAAGGGTCGCCTCCGGGCTACTCCTCACTCCTCCCACTTCCCCCCGACAGAGGCTCCCCTGCAGACGCTTCACATGGATGTGTGGGGCCCAGCCCCCGTCCGTGGGCAGGGTTACGAGCGCTACTTCCTGTTGGTGGTTGACGACTACTCGCGTTACACCACAGTCCTCCCCTTGCGCAGCAAGGGTGCGGTCACTGAGGTGCTGATCGACTGGATCCGCGAGGCTCGTCTCCAGCTCAGGAAGAGCTTCGGCTCGGACTTTCCTGTTCTGCGTCTGCACTCTGACAGAGGCGGAGAGTTCTCTTCTCGCCTTCTGCGGGACTACTGTCGTGCACGGGGGATCCGCCAGACCTTCACGCTTCCGGACTCACCACAGCAAAATGGGATTGCTGAGCGCCGCATTGGTATGGTCATGGATGTAGCTCGTACGTCCATGATGCATGCGGCTGCCCCCCATTTTCTGTGGCCGTACGCGGCGCATCAGCTCAACCTTCACCCCCGGGTCTCTCGGCCTGCGATGTCCCCAGCCTTGCTGTGGACGGGGAAGGTTGGCGATGCGTCTGTGTTCCGTGTCTGGGGATCTCGGGCGTTTGTCCGCGACTTGTCTGCGGACAAGCTGTCCCCTCGTGCTGCTCCCTGTGTCTTCCTTGGCTTCCCCACTGACGCCCCAGGGTGGCAGTTTTACCACCCCTCCTCTCGTCGTGTTCTGTCCTCCCAGGACGTCACGTTCGACGAGTCAGTCCCCTTCTACCGTCTCTTCCCCTACCGCACTCCTTCCCTCCCCCCTCCCCCGGACTTCCTTGTGCCGGTTCCCCCCCCGGTAGACCCCCTCCCCCCTCAGGTTCCTGCCCCCTCAGGTGTGTCCCAGGTAGACGCCGTTGACCCGGTCGAGGTTACTGGTGACTCTGGTGCTGCTGCGGGTGCTGAGCCTGGAGGTGCTGACTCTGGGGGTGCTGTGCGCGGGGGTGCTGAGCCTGGGGGTGCTACTGCTGGGGGTGCTGGGCCTGAGGGTGCTACTGCGGAGGGTGCGGAGCCTGGGGGTGCTGAGCCGGGGGGTGCTGTGCCTGGAGGTGCTGGGTCTGGGGGTGCTGGGTCGGGAGCTGCTGAGCCTGGGGGTGCTGAGCTGGGAGCTGCTGAGCCTGGGGGTGCTGCGTCTGGAGCTGCTGAGCCTGGGGTTTCTCCTGCTGCTGCGTCTCGCCGGGAGCCCCTCTCTCCACAGGAGCTGCGCGAGTGGTTCGCTCGCCGCTGGAGGCGTGCTGCTGAGTCTGGAGGTGCTGCTGGAGCTGGAGCTGGAGCTTCTTCGACCGTCGAGGGTGCGGGTGCTGCCGGTCCCGGAGCTGCTGGACCTGCGGGTCCTCCTGGTGCTGGAGCTGCTGAGGGCGCTGGTGCTGAGCCTACTGCTGTTGGTCCTGCCGCTGGAGGTGTGGGTGGCGCTGGTGCTGTCACTGAGGGTGCTGGTGCTGTCCCCTGCTGCGTCTGGAGCTGCCGCGCGGCCTCGGCCGTACTTCGTTCCGCTCCTGCAGCAGGTTCTTGGTCTTTCTCCTCCAGTAGAGGGTCCACCGCCTGTCCAGTCGCAGTCCCTGCTGGAGCCTTCCTCTCCACTGCCTGCTCCCTCTCCTTACACTGGTCCTACTGGAGGTCTTGCTGAGCGTCGTGAGCCTGCGTCTCGTCCCGCGTCGCCTGTTCGCACTGCTCGCGCTAGTGGTCGCAGTTCGCGTCAGCGTCCTCCTCCTGTCCCTGGCACGCACCGGATGTCTTTGCGTCCGTCCACTGCTCCTCTGCGTGCCCCTTTGCCTTCTCCTCCTGAGTCCTCTCTTCCTGCGCTTGCCGACCCTGAGTCGGACTCTCTTCGTGCTGCCAGTCCTACTGTCACGCGTCTGCTTGCTACTGTCGTCACTGACCCCTCTTTTGAGTCCACTGCTGCGTCTGCTCTTGTCGCTGAGCTCGTCGACTTTGCTGCTCGCTGTCGTCTCGACTACGCTGCTAGTCTTGTTGCTGAGTCTGCGTCTGTCTGTCCTCCGTCCGTCGGGGGTGAGTGTGCTCTTGGCACGGACGTCCTAGAGGACAGGCAGGAGGAGTTACAGTGTCTAGTGGCTGCTTCACCTCATCTCGCGTCTGTACTGCTTGCCCCTGAGGGAGACCCGGATGCACTAGACATCCCGACTCCGCGTTCTTACGCGGAGGCCGTAGAGGGTCCCTACTCCTCTCAGTGGCAGGCAGCTATGGATGCAGAGATGGCTTCCTGGAAGTCCACAGGCACCTACGTTGACGCGGTTCCCCCTCCTGGGGCGAACATCGTCAGTGGCATGTGGATCTTCAGGGTGAAGCGGCCGCCGGGCTCTCCACCTGTCTTCAAGGCACGGTACGTTGCTCGTGGCTTCAGTCAGCGGCAGGAAGTTGACTACTTTCAGACCTTCTCTCCCACCCCGAAGATGACTACTCTTCGGGTGCTGCTGCACATAGCCGCTCAGCGCGACTACGAGCTTCACTCTCTCGACTTCAGCACTGCGTTCTTGCAGGGTAGCCTGCACGAGGAGATCTGGCTTCGCCGTCCACCTGGCTTCACTGGGACTTTCCCTCCTGGCACCCAGTGGAGCCTCCGACGGCCAGTCTACGGTCTCCGCCAGGCACCGCGTGAGTGGCACGACACACTGAGGACTACGCTTGCGGCTCTTGGGTTTGCTCCTTCTACTGCTGACCCGTCGCTGTTTCTTCGCACCGACACTTCCCTGCCGCCGTTCTACATCCTCGTGTACGTCGACGACTTGGTCTTTGCCACAGCAGACACTGCTGGACTCGCCTACGTGAAGTCCGAGCTGCTGAAGAGACACACGTGCACAGACCTGGGTGAACTGCGCAGCTACCTTGGCTTGCAGATCACTCGGGACAGAGCACGCCGCACCATTACCTTGACTCAGTCACACATGGTGCAGCAGGTCCTTCAGCGCTTCGGCTTCACGTACTCCTCGCCTCAGGCCACTCCTCTGCCTACTCGCCACTCACCCTCAGCTCTGCCTTCGGATGAGTCCGTAGAGTCGAGTGGTCCGTATGCAGAGCTTGTTGGCTGCCTCATGTACCTGATGACCTGCACACGACCTGACCTTGCATACCCTCTGAGCATTCTTGCTCGCTATGTTGCTCCTGGGAGACACAGACCGGAGCACATGGCTGCAGCGAAGAGGGTATTGCGCTACCTGTGCAGCACGTCGGGCATGGGGCTAGTGCTTGGAGGGCGGAGTCCAGTGGTCCTTACCGGCCACGCGGACGCTTCTTGGGCTGACGACCAGGCTACGCAGCGGTCGTCACAGGGTTACACCTTCAGCCTTGGTTCCGGCTCTGTCTCGTGGCGGTCTACTCGCTCGTCTTCGGTTCTCGGCTCCAGTTGTGAGGCTGAGATCTACGCCGGGGCCATGGCTGCACAGGAGCTTCGCTGTCTCACCTACCTGCTGACTGACCTTGGAGAGCCGCCTCGTTCTCCTCCAGTGCTGTACGTAGACAACAAGGCCATGCTGGCCTTGTGTCGAGAGCAGCGCTTGGAGCACAGAACGAAGCACATTGCTCTCCGCTACTTCCTTGCTCGTGAGCTGCAGCAGCGTGGTCAGTTGCGACTTGCGTACGTGGCCTCTGAGGCCAACACTGCTGATGTGTTCACCAAGGCACTCGCGCCTTGTGACCATCAGCGCTTTTGCACCCAGCTGGGTTTTGTGCCTGTCTTGCCTCACTTGCTCTCCTCTTGACTTCACTTGTACTGTGACATATATATATACCTGCTCTTGCTTGTCTAGTTTTATATATATGTCTGTACTCCTGCATGTGAACTGGCCTCTGGCCATGCTCTTGTGCTCGGACTGTGTGGTGACGTTGTGATCCACCCTGAGCTTGCTTTGCTTTGCTTTGCTTGACTGGTCTTGTGACCCCTTGTTCTCCCCCACTTTGCCTATGGGGGTGTGTCGGATTATTATAACTGATGCATGTTTGTAGGCTATAGTGGGGTAGCACATATGGGGTACAGCTTTCTAGGGTTGTATTTGTACCCAACTCTGACTTAGTCATTCATTCCTGTTTTCCTTGCTTCACAAGTTTCTCAGCGGCGTCCCCTGCTCCTCCTCCTCCTCCGTCTCCCGCTACTGCAGCTGCCGCTCAGGGGGGTGGGTGTGTGGGAGCCGAAGGAGTGGTGCTAGGGGGGTGACGTGGGAGTGGAGCTAGGGGTGAAGCAAGGGGTGTGTGTCAGGGGGGGTGGGACTGTTTGGGGAAGTTGAACGGAGGTTGCCGTCGTGTCGCCAGTAGCACCTGTAGTCCGGGGAGTTGCTCCGGTAGCCCAGTCGCAGCCACCTGTGCCAGTCGCCCGTGGGTCCGTTGCTCGTCTGCCGCTACTTTTAGCCGCGGGGCCAGTTACTCCAGTAGTCCGGAGCGTTGTTCCGGTAGCCGCTGTGCCAGTGTGCCTCCTGTTGCCCGTGTGTCTGCAGCTTCAGCCGTCGCCTCCTATCTCCTCTCCTCTTACAGTCTCGCCTCCTCCTCCTCACTTGCCCTCTGCGATAGCCTCTAGCTTTGCTTACACTTGTGAACTTTAAACTGTTGCTTCTTGAACTTGTGCTTAGAATGTGTGGTGACATTGTGATCCACCCTGAGCTTCTCCTGCTTTGCTTGCTCTGCTGATTACACCCCACTTTGGCTATGGGGGTGTGTCAGAATGTTATGCTCTAGCCTGTAGTGGGGTGCTCTATAGCGAGTACAACCCTTCTAGGGTTTGCTATTTGTATCCTCATTCCTACTAGTGAACTCCTTTTTGCCTAAACTGTTTCTTGCCTAGCTAGGGCTTTCCTAGCTATGGCTCCTACTTCTGTCTACTATTTTCACAGAATATACAGAAATTTAAGGGAAAACGAAAATCACAGCTACAAAATCAGCGTAATCAGTGTGTTTTAGTTGATATCTGAGGGCCTGGTGCAAATACATTCGTATAAATAAGGGTACAGGGGACAGTCTCTCAGAAGTCATATTTTTTTCTCTGATTTGGCAAAAAAAACCCTGATATTTCAGATTTTTTTTTCAGTGTAATCTGTAAGAATCAGATTTTTTTAAGGGTAACTCTGAAATTTCAGAGTTTTCCGGGAGTGTATTCTAATCATTCAGAGTACAAACTCGATCTTGACTAGTAATTCGGACTTCACGAGTCACCGAAGATTCACATTTTCAATGCAAAATCCCCTTAACACAGCAAGTCCGCGCCTTACAGCACAAATTTTGCCCAATCACAGCAAAATCGCCCTGACACCACATATTTGCGCCGTCAGAGCACAACAACTTCGCCCAATCACAAAACAATTCCACCTGACATAACAGATTTGCCCTTTCACACCACAAGATTTATCCTGACACAAAAATTCGCCCTGTCAGAGCATAGTCTTGCAAGTTTCGGTATCCGATGAATGAAACATTGAATACATTTCTGATGAAACATTGAATACATTGATCTCGAATGTTAAGACTTTTATTTAAAGGCACTCAGAAATTTCAGCCTTTTTTTTATGCCAACTCTGAGAGTTTGAGACAGAAACTGTGTACTAGTCTGACGAATTAGACAGGCCAAAAACGAATCTGAGGGCCTGACAAGGGAATACGAAACGACCTAGACTAGCCGTTTAGTCTAAGAGGTACTTTCCCCTATTGCAATGAACCGTGCGACTCCCGACGGTTACGAACACGTTCCCGCCATAATCCTTGCAACTGCAACTGCTCGATGCTTCTGCTCCGGCGGTCCAAATACTGTCCAACTGTGTGTGACTCTTCACGTCACTTCGTCTTCATACTCTCCATTGTGTTCATCGATTGCTACTACAGGAATGCGTAGTGTTCTTTCGCACTTCACTATTTGTTACACCCTCTAAAGTGTGCCTCACTGTAACGTATCACGTACATTTATAATATGAAACATTTAGACGTCTTTTGCGTATGTATTCGCGCATTCGGTTCAGTCACTAAACACTTCAGAGAACTGCGAATGGTCACATGTCGAAATTTCCGCCCAAAAAAAAAAAAAAAAGATCCAGTTGTCAAACATTATACCTGTTCTGCTTGTTTAGGCTACAGTGGGTTAGCCTATAGGGGGTACACAATTCTGTTGGAATCACTGAACAGGAATGAATGAACTAGCAGTGAAATGAGTACAAGTACCTAACCCTAGAATTGTGTACCCCCTATAGGCTAACCCACTGTAGCCTAAACTAACACAACATATATAATGTTTGACACACCCCCATAGGCAAAGTGGGGGAGAACTAGGGGTCACAAGACCAGTCAAGGCAAAGCAAGGCAAAACAAGCTCAGGGTGGATCTCAAGGATACCACACAAATTCCGAGCAGAAGCAAGTGGTCACAAGACCAGTTCACATGCAGGTTTATAATAGAGCAAAAGGTACAATGATCACAACCTAACAAGAGTAAACATGCAGGTATATATATAGAGATCACAGTACAAACAGACTCAAGAAGTAAGCAAGTGAGGTCCAGTAGGCACAAGGCCTAGAAGAGTGCAAAAGCGCTGATGGTCACAAGGCTGAAGCGCCTTGGTGAACACATCAGCAGTGTTGGCCTCAGAGGCCACGTAACGCAGGCGAAGCTGACCACGCTGCTGCAGCTCTCGAGCAAGGAAGTAATGCAGAGCAATGTGCTTCGTTCTGTGCTCCAGTCTGTGCTCCTCACACAAGGCAATGGCTGCCTTGTTGTCGACGTACAGCACTGGAGGAGAACGAGGCTGCTCTCCAAGGTCGGTCAGCAAGTAGGTGAGCCAGCGTAGCTCCTGGGCCGCCATGGCTGTGGCGTAGATCTCAGCCTCACAACTGGAGCTGAGAATAGAAGAAGAGCGAGTAGAACGCCAAGAAACTGAACCAGAGCCAAGACTGAAGGAGTAACCCTGAGACGACCGCTGAGTAGCCTGGTCGTCTGCCCAAGAAGCGTCTGAGTGCCCAGTGAGAAAAACTGGGACTCGCCCTCCAAGCATTAGCCCCATGCCCGACGTACTGCACAAGTAGCGCAACACCCTCTTAGCTGCATCCATGTGCTCCTTCCGGTGACGGCCGGGAGCGACATAGCGTGCAAGAATGCTGAGAGGGTATGCAAGGTCTGGTCGAGTGCAGGTCATCAGGTACATGAGGCAACCCACAAGCTCTGGATACGGGCCACTCGGCTCTACGGACTCATCCGAAGGCAGAGCTGAGAGCGAGTGACCGGTAGGCAGAGGAGTGGGCTCAGGCGAGGAGTACGTGAAGCGGAAGCGCTGAAGGACCTGCTGCACCATGTGTGACTGAGTCAAGGTGATGGTGCGGCGTGCTCTGTCCCGGGTGATCCGCAAGCCAAGATAGCTTGTCAGTTCACCCAGGTCTGTGCACGTGTGTCTCTTCTGCAGCTCCGACTTCACGTGGGCGAGTGCCACAGTGTCAGCAGTAGCAAAGACCAAGTCGTCGACGTACACAAGGACGTAGAACGGCGTCAGTGAGGTGTCGGTGCGTAGAAACAGCGACGGGTCAGTAGTAGAAGGCGCGAACCCAAGAGCCGCGAGCGTAGTCCTCAGTGTGTCGTGCCACTCACGAGGCGCCTGGCGGAGACCGTAGACTGGCCGTCGGAGGCTCCACTGGGTACCAGGAGGGAACGACCCAGTGAAGCCAGGTGGACGGCGCAGCCAGATCTCCTCGTGCAGGCTGCCCTGCAGGAAAGCAGTGCTGAAGTCAAGCGAGTGGAGCTCGTAGTCACGCTGAGCGGCGACGTGCAGTAGAACCCGAAGAGTGGTCATCTTCAGGGTCGGGGAGAAGGTCTGGAAGAAGTCAACTCCCTCTCGCTGACTGAAGCCTCGTGCAACGTAACGCGCCTTGAAGACAGGCGGAGAGCCCGGCGGCCGCTTCACCCTGAAAATCCACATGCCACTGACGATGTTCGCCCCAGGTGGGGGAACCTCGTCGACGTAGGTGCCTGTGGACTTCCAGGAAGCCATCTCTGTGTCCATGGCTGACTGCCACTGAGAGGAGTAGGGACCGGCCATCGCCTCTGCGTAAGAGCGTGGGGTCGGGATGTCTGGTGCATCCGGGTCTCCCTCAGGGGCAACAAGCATGGACACGAGATGGGGCAAAGCGGCAGCAAAGCACTCAATCTCCTCCTGCCTGTCCTCAAGGACGTTAGTGCCAAGAGCATACTCACCCCCGACGGACGGAGGACAGACAAACTCAGACTCAGCAACTAGGCTAGCAGCGTAGTCTAGACGACAGCGAGCAACAAAGTCGACAAGCTCAGCAACTAAGGCAGACGCAGCAGCAGACTCAAAGGAAGGGTCAGTGACAACAGTAGCCAAGAGACGCGTGACAGTAGGACTGGTAGCACAAAGAGAGTCTGACCCAGGGTTAGCAACAGCAGGAAGAGAGGAAGCAGGAGGAGACGGCAGTGGGACACGCTGTAGAGCAGTGGACGGACGAAGCGCCATCCGGTGAGTGCCTGGGACAGCAGGAAGACGCTGACGCTGGACTCCACTACTAGAGAGAGCAGTGCGGACAGGCGACTCAGGACGAGACTCAGGCAACGCAGGACGAGACGCAGGCTCACGCCGCTCAGTAAGACCTCCAGTCGGACCAGTATAAGGAGCAGGACCAGGGAGAGAGGAGGCAGACGGTAACGCCGACTACAGCTGGACAGGCGGAGGACACGCTAAGGAGGGAGGAGGAAAAGGAGGAGGAAGCTGACCAAGAACCTGCTGAAGGAGCGGAACAAAGTACGGCCGAGACTGAGCAGCGACACCAGAGCCAGCAGGGACACCCGCACCAGGGTCCGCAGCACCAGCAGCAGCTCCAGCGCCCACGTCCTCAGCACCAGCGGCAGCTCCAACGCCCGGGTCCTCAGCACCAGTAGCAGCTCCAACTCCCGGGTCCGCAGCACCAGCGGCAGCTCCAACGCATGGGTCCTCAGCACCAGCAGCAGCTCCAACGCCCGGGTCCTCAGCACCAGCAGCGGCTCCAACGCCCGGGTCCTCAGCACCAGCAGGAGCTCCAACGCCCGGGTCCTCAGCACCAGCAGCAGCTCCAACGCCCGGGTCCCCAGCACCAGCAGCAGCTCCAACAGCAGCGGGGTCCGTAACACGAGGCACGCCACTCTGAAGAGTGCAGCGCCGCTCGTAACACCCACGGATCCACTCGCGGGAGGGGAGCTCCCGAACGGGAGAAGAAGCACTAGCACCAGTCCCAGTAGTACGTCCGGCTCGAGCGGTACCTCTCCGGAGGCTGCAGTACTCTAAGTACCACGCACGCAGCTGCTCCGAGGAGAGGGCTCCTCCAGGTGCAGGTCTCCCAGGCCTAGTACCTCCAGACTCAGAACCCCCAGACTCCGGACTCCGCAGCTCAGCACCACGAGGCTCCACACCCCCAAGCTCAGCACCCTCAAGCTCCACACCCCCAGGCTCCACACCCCCAGGCTCCACACCCCCAGGCTCCACACCCCCAGGCTCCACACTCCCAGGCTCAGCACCCCCAGGCTCAGCACCCCCAGCAGGACGAGAGTCGACAGCTACCTCAACAGGCTCAACGGGGTCTACCTGAGGGAGCGGCACCCTGAGGGGGGAGGGGGTCTGCAACAGCAGCACCTGGCGCGAGGAAGAGAGGCGGGGGGGGGAGCGGGGCAGTGCGGTAGGGGAAGAGGCTGTAGTAGGGGACGGACTCGTCAAAAGTGACGTCTTGAGAGGGCAAGACTCGGCGCGAGGTGGCGTGGTAAAACTGCCAACCAGACGCGTCTGGGACAAAGCCGAGGAAGACGCAGGGAACAGCACGGGAGGAGAGCTTGTCCGCAGACGAATCGCAGACAAAAGCTCGAGACCCCCAGACCCAGAAACGTGACGCATCGCCAACCTCCCCCGTCCACAGCAGCGTGGGCGAGGTCTCCGGCAAGGAGACACGGGGCCAGAGGTTGAGCTGATGCGCAGCGTACCGGACCGCAAACGGCCACAGAAAGTGGGGGGCAGCCGCATGGATCAAGGAGGTACGGGCGACCTCCATGACCAGGCCAATGCGGCGCTCCGCAACCCCATCCTTCTGTGGAGAAGCCGGAAGCGTGAACGACTGCTCAATGCCGTGCTCAGCACAGTAGGCTGCCAAGAGGTCGGAGGAGAACTCACCACCTCTGTCAGAGTGCAAGCGCAGGACTGGAAAGTCCGAGTGAAAACGCTCGCTGAGCTGGAGACGGGCTCTGCGGATCCAAGGGATCAAGACATAAGGGACCTCAGCCTTGGTGCGCAAGGGGAAGACCGAGGTGTAGCGCGAGTAGTCGTCAACAACTATCAGGAAGTACCTCTCCTGACCTTGACCACGGACGCGGGCTGGGCCCCACACGTCCATGTGGAGTGTCTGCAAGGGAGCAGTCGTCGGGGGGAACGAGGAGGAGTGAGGAGCGGCGCGCTGCCGTCCCTCGACACAAGGAAGACAGGTAGGAGCAGGCGAGGGTGGGATGGCAGGAAGAACCCTGGGCAGGCCAGAGACAAGGTACCGGGAGTGCATGGCACGAAGCCGCTGCACAGACGGGTGGCCAAGGCGGTGGTGCCAGAGGACAGTCTCGTGTGCCAAAGAGCGACACGAGCAGGGGGCGGACAGCTGACCTGACGCGGACGCGGACGCAGTCGCAGCAACCTGAGGGGACTCAGTAGTCAGTGTGTACAGGTCCGACCCCGGCTGCCGAGTGAAGGTAGCCAAGTGACGGCCCGTACGAGCACACGTGCAGTGTGTCACGCGCTCGTAGGCAGGGGTGAACTGGTGAACACCCCCGTCCTGGAGTGCACATCCTGCCACCAAGTTCGTAGAGAACGAGGGGAGGTTGAGACCTGATAGTGTGCTCGACGGGACCGCATGGCAGGGAAGGACAGTGGAAGAGGTCGCAATGACCGGACCCCTAGAGGGGTCAGCAAGGGAGACAGCAACTGGCCGAGCAAGCGGCTCAAGGGCAGTGCGGTCACGAAAGAAGCAGCGAGAAGCACCTGAGTCCAGTGTGAAGGTGTGCAGTGCGGCAGTCGACGCAGTACCAAGGGGGGGAGACACACGAGCACCTAGAGCAGCAGCCTCACCAGCACCTGGGGTAGCCGACACGCGAGTACCTGGAGCGGCAGACGCACTGGCCCTAATGCCCGGGTCGGGCGGCACACACAAGTACTCAGCACCCTCTCCACTAGTAGACATCACATACATGGCAGATAAAATAGCATCAAAGTCTAGAGCATAGATATCAATCCCCTTCTTCAGGAGATCAAGCCAGCGGGGCAGCTCAGTGGCCTGAGGGAACTGAACACGCCAAGCGTCGTCGAGACGAGAGAAGCAGCGTTGTGTGGCGTGCGGTCGTCCACACTGCTGACCAGTGCGGTCACCAGTGCGAATGACGTACGTGCAGCTAAGACCACCCCCACCCCCGTGCTGAGAGTACCACTCACGGACCTCCTGGGGCGAGGGAGTGTGCTGCTGGCCCTGGCCACCGCCAGTGCCTCCACGGCCACCACCACCGCTGCCACCTCCTCGACCACCCCAACCCCTGCCGCCGCCTCGTCCACCGCCACCCCAACCGCCGCCTCCACTCCTGCCACCTCGCCCGCCGCTGCCGCCACCACCCCCACCGCTACCACTCGCCCCTCCAGCCGAGCCACCACCCCCACTGCCTCCACCGCCCCCACCGCCGCCTCCCCCGCCGTCATCGCCACCACCCTTGCCCCCTTTGCCCTTGCCGCTACGGCGTCCGCTCGAGGCAGACGCAGCGCCGACCTTCTCAGTACCAAGAAGGTCGACAGCAGCAGCAGAGGCGACAGAGGGAAGAAGGGGGGAAGGAGAACACCCCTCAAAGAACGGGGTACGGGGGTCGCCACGAGAGGCACCTATAGCGACTATGCTAGTCTCAGCTGCAATGGTGAGCTCAGTGGGGCAACGAGCTAGGAAGTGGTCCCTGACAGCACGCAGTGTGTCAGGGAGGCGGGTGACTAGGTGGTAGAGAGTGAGCCAGAGTGGAGGGGGGTGCGTGGCAAAGAACTCAGCAGGCATGGCGGCACGGAAGCGGGCCTCACTAGTACGGAGGTGCTTGATGAGGTCACCGACTGTGTGAAAGGAGGCCAGGTCGGGAAACAGGTAGGGGAGGGAGAAACGGCCTAGTGCGGCAGAGGCAGGTGAGTAGTAGCGAGCAACTACAGCTGTGTACAGTGCCTGTGCAGTCTTGTGCTGACCAAAGTGCTCACGTTCGTCTATCGGCAGGGAGTTGCGAATGGCGAAGCGAGCGTGGGCATCACGGGTCTGCCACTGTGAGCGAGCAGTGCTGTCAGCAGTAGCAGCAGGGGCAGTGACATGGCCTAGGGCGTGATCGTACAGTGAGATGTCATCCTTGGCTGTGAGCTATAGGTAGAGGTGCAGGTCATCGAGCCAGGTGTCAAACTTCACAGGGCGGCCCTCAGCATCGAACACGAAAACCTGTGGGCTAGCCATAGGAACAGTAGAAATAGCAGCAGTAGCAGTAGGAGAAGCAGGTAGGACGAACCAGGTAGGGCAGGGCGGCGCGGCTCGATTCAGGGTGGGTCGCGGCTCGGCTGGGTGGCGCGGCTCGGTTCAGGGCGCGCGGCTCGGCTCGGGGCGCGCGGCTCGGGTCACGGCGGGGACGGGCCGCCCGCTCTCCCTCGTGTGCTGCGGCGGGAACGGGCCGCCCGGGGCCTCTAGGTGGTGGGCACGGGTCGGCGAGGTCGGCACGGGGCCGGTTGGGGCCCTAGAGGGGCGAGCGTGGGGCCGATCGGGGCCTGAGCGGGGCTAGCGCGGGGCCTAACGGGGCCTTGACGGGGCTAGCAAGGGGCCGACGGGGCCTGAACGGGGCTGACGGGGCCTGAAAACGGGGCTAGCGCGGGCCCGATCGGGGCCTGAATGGGGCTAGCGCGGGGCCGACGGGGCCTGAGAGGGGCTAGCGCGGGGCCGACGGGGCCTGAAACGGGGCTAGCGCGGGCGGACGGGGCCTGAGAGGGGCTAGCGCGGGGCCGACGGGGCCTGAAACGGGTTTAACGGGGCCTGAAACGGGGCTAGCGCGGGCCGACGGGGCCTGAGAGGGGCTAGCGCGGGGCCGACGGGGCCTGAAACGGGGCCGACGGGGCCTGAAACGGGGCTAGCGCGGGTCGACGGGGCCTGAGAGGGGCTAGCGCGGGGCCGACGGGGCCTGAAACGGGGCCGACGGGGCCTGAACGGGGCTAGCGCGGGGCCTGAACGGGGCCTTAAAGGGGCCGACGGGGCCTGAACGAGGCCGCTAGGGAGAGCGCGCGTGGGGCCGACGGGGCCTGAACGGGGCTAGCGCGGGGCCGTCAAGAGGGGCCTCTAGGGGCGTGACACGCCGAGGCGCCCTAGGGCACAGGTAGGTAGGTAGGTAGGTAGTTACGTAGTGGTGGGCCCTTAGAAAATTTCGGTCCTAGGAAGGACCTGCTCTATACCATATTGGAATCACTGAACAGGAATGAATGAACTAGCAGTGAAATGAGTACAAGTACCTAACCCTAGAATTGTGTACCCCCCTATAGGCTAACCCACTGTAGCCTAAACTAACACAACATATATAATGTTTGACAAATTCTAGGGTTAGGTACTTGTACTGTTTTCACTGTTAGTTCATTCATTCCTGTTCATTCATTTCAACATGGTATAGAGCAGGTCCTTCCTAGGACCGATTTTTTTTAGGGCCCACCACTACCTACCTACCTACCTGCGCCCTAGGGCGCCTCGGTTTTCACGGCCCTCTAAGGCCCCGCGACCCGCGACCCGCCCCTTAGCGACCCGCGACCCGCCCCTTAAGGCCCCGTCGGCCCACGCGCTTGCCCCTTACGGCCCCGCACTCGCCCCTTTACGACCCCGCGCTCGCCCCTAGCGGCCCCTGTCGGCCCCGCGATCGCCCCTAACGGCCCCGTCGGCCCCGCGCTCACCTCCCTAGAGGCCCCGAAAGGCCCCGTCGGCCCCGCGCTCACCTCCCTAGAGGCCCCTTACGGCCCGTCGGCCCCGCGCTCACCTCCCTAGAGGCCCCGAACGGCCCCGTCGGCCCCTAGAGGCCCCTTTACGGCCCCGCGCTCACCTCCCTAGAGGCCTCGAACGGCCCCGTCGGCCCCGCGCTCACCGCCCCTAGAGGCCCCGAACGGCCCGTGACCGCCACAGCCCAGGACCGAACCGAGCCGCCCAGGACCGAACCGAGCCGCGCGACCCGAGCCGAGCCGCGCGACCCGAGCCGAACCGCGCCGCCCCACCCGAGCCGCGCCGCCCTACCTAAACCGAGCCGCCCTACCTGCTTCATCCTCCTACTCCTACTGCTACTCCTACTGCTCCTATGGCTAGCCCACAAGTGCTAGTTTTCGATGCTGAGGGCCGCCCAGTGAAGTTTGACACCTGGCTAGACGACCTGCACCTCTATCTACAGCTCACAGCCAAGGACGACATCTCACTGTACGACCACGCCCTAGGCCATGTCACTGCCTCTGCTGCTACTGCTGACAGCACTGCCCGCTCACAGTGGCAGACTCGTGATGCCCACGCTCGCTTCGCTATTCGCAACTCCCTGCCGATAGACGAGCGTGAGCACTTTGGCCAGCACAAGACTGCACAGGCACTGTACACAGCTGTCGTTGCTCGCTACTCCTCACCTGCCTCTGCCACGCTAGGCCGTCTCTCCCTCCCCTACCTGTTTCCCGACCTAGCCTCGTTCCACACAGTCGCTGACCTCATCACGCACCTCCGTACTAGTGAGGCCCGCTTCCATGCCGCCATGCCTGATGAGTTCCTTGCCACGCAACCCCCCCCACTCTGGCTCACTCTCTACCACCTAGTCACCCGCCTCCCTGACACTCTGCGCGCTGTCAGGGATCACTTCCTAGCTCACTGCCCCACTGAGCTCACCATTGCCCTCCTCGAGAAGGAACTGCTTGCAGCTGAGGCTAGCATCGTAGCTGTAGGTGCCTCTCGTGGCGAACCCCGTACCCCGTTCTTTGAGGGGTGTTCTCCTTCCCCCCTTCTTCCCTCTGTCGCCTCTGCTGCTGCTGTCAATCTCCTTGGTGCTGAGAAGGTCGGTACTGCGTCTGCTTCGAGCGGGCGCCGCAGCGGCAAGGGCAAAGGGGGCAAGGGAGGAGGTGGTGACGGCGGGGGAGGCGGTGGTGGGGGTGGTGGCGGCGGTTGGGGTGGTGGTGGGACTGGTGGGGCTAGTGGTAGCGGTGGGGGTGGTGGCGGCAGCGGCGGGGGAGGTGGCAGGGGCGGAGGCGGTGGTGGGGGTGGCGGTGGAGGCGGCGGCGGCAGGGGTTGGGGTGGTCGAGGAGGTGGCGGCGGCGGTGGTGGTCGTGGAGGCGCTGGCGGTGGCCAGGGCCAGCAGCACACTCCGTCGCCCCAGGAGGTCCGTGAGTGGTACTCACAGCACGGGGGGGGGGGGGGGGGGGGGGGGGGGGGGGGGGGGGCTTTAGCTGCACGTACGTCATTCGCACGGGTGACCGCACTGGTCAGCCGTGTGGGGGATCGCACGCCACACAGCGCTGCTTCGCTCGTCTCAACGATGCTTGACGTGTTCAGTTCCCTCAGGCCACTGAGCTGCCCCGCTGGCTTGATCTCCTGAGGAAGGGGATTGATATCTATGCTTTAGACTTTGATGCTATTCTATCTGCTATGTATGTGATGTCTACTAGTGGAGAGGGTGCTGAGTACCTGTGTGTGCCGCCCGACCCGGGCAGTAGGTCTAGAGCGTCTCCCGCTCTAGGTACTCGCGTGTCTGCTACCCCAGGTGCTGGAGAGGCAGCTGCTCTAGGTGCTTGTGCGTCTGCCCCCCCTGGTACTGAGTCGACGGCAGCACTGCACACCTTCACACTGGACTCCGCTTGCTCGTCCAGTTGCTGTCTCCCTCGCTGACCCCTCTGGGGGTCCGGTCATTGCGACCTCCTCCACTTTCCTTCCCTGTCCTGCGGTCCCGTCGGGCACACTGTCAGGTCTCCACCTCCCCTCGTTCTCCACGAACCTGGTGGCAGGATGTGCGCTCCAGGACGGGGGTGTTCACCAGTTCACCCCTGCCTACGAGCGTGTGACACACTGCACGTGTGCTCGTACGGGCCGTCACTTGGCTACCTTCACTCGGCAGCCGGGGTCGGACCTGTACACACTGACCACCGAGTCCCCTCAGGTCGCTGCGTCTGCGTCTGCGTCAGGTCAGCTGTCGGCCCCCTACTCGTGTCGCTCTCTGGCACACGAGACTGTCCTCTGGCACCACCGCCTTGGTCACCCGTCTGTGCAGCGGCTTTGTGCCATGCACTCCCGGTACCTTGTCTCTGGCCTTCCAAGGGTCCTTCCTCCCCTCCCTCCCTCACCTGCTCCTCCCTGTCTTCCCTATGTCGAGGGGCGGCAGCGCGCTGCTCCTCACTCCTCGTTTCCCCCGACGACTGCTCCCTTGCAGACACTCCACATCTACGTGTGGGGCCCAGCCCGCGTCCGTGGTCAGGGTCAGGAGAGGTACTTCCTGATAGTTGTTGACGACTACTCGCGCTACACCACGGTCTTCCCCTTGCGCACCAAGGGTGAGGTCCCTGATGTCTTGATCCCTTGGATCCGCAGAGCCCGTCTCCTGCTCAACGAGCGTTTCCACTCGGACTTTCCTGTCCTGCGCTTGCACTCTGACAGAGGTGGTGAGTTCTCCTCCGACCTCTTGGCAGCCTACTGTGCTGAGCACGCCATTGAGCAGTCGTTCCAATTCCGGCCTCACCACAGCAGAATGGGGTTGCGGAGCGCCGCATTGGCCTGGTCACGGAGGTCGCCCGTACCTCCTTGATCCATGCGGCTGCCCCCCACTTTCTATGGCCGTTTGCGGTCTGGTACGCTGCGCATCAGCTCAACCTCTGGCCCCGTGTCTCCTTGCCGGAGACCTCGCCCACACTGCTGTAGACGGGGGAGGTTGGCGATGCGTCGCGTTTCCGGGTCTAGGGATCTCGAGCTTTTGTCTGCGATACGTCTGCGGACAAGCTCTCCTCCCGTGCTGTTCCCTGCGTCTTCCTCGGCTTTGTCCGGGACGCGCCTGGTTGGCAGTTTTACCACACCACCTCGCGCCGAGTCTTGCCCTCTCAGGACGTCACTTTTGACGAGTCCGTCCCCTACTACCGCCTCTTCCCCTACCGCACTGCCCCGCTCCCCCCCCCCGCCTCTCTTCCTTGCGCCAGGTGCTGCTGTCGTAGACCCCCTCCCCCCTCAGGTGTGTCTCAGGTAGACCCGGTTGAGCCTGTTGAGGTAGCTGTCGACTCTCGTCCTGCTGCGGGTGCGGAGCCTGGGGGTACTAAGCCTGGGAGTGCTGTGCCTGGGGGTGCGGAGCCTCGGGGTGCTGAGCCTGGGGGTGCGGAGCCTGGGGGTGCTGAGCCTGGGGGTGCGGAGCTTGGGGGTACTGAGCCTGGGGGTGCTGAGCCTGTTGGTGCTGAGCCTTGGGGTGCTGAGCTGCAGAGTCCGGAGTCTGGGGGTTCTGAGTCTGGTGGTGCTGAGCCTCGTAGTCCTACACCTGGAGGAGCCCTCTCCTCGGAGCAGCTGCGTGAGTGGTACTTACAGTACTGCAGCCTCAGGAGAGGTACCTCTGGAGCCAGGCGTACTACTAGGACTGGTGCTAGTGCTTCTCCTCCTAGTCGGGAGCTCCCCTTTCGTGAGCGGATCCGTGAGTGGTACGAGCGGCGCTGCACTCTTCGGAGTGGTGCGCCTCGTGTCGCGGACCCCGCTGCTGCTGGTGCTGAGGACCCGGGCGTTGGAGCTGCAGCTGGTGCTGAGGACCCGGGCGTTGGAGCTGCGGTTGGTGCTGAGGACCCGGACGCTGGTGCTGCTGCTGGTGTTGAGGACCCGGGCGTTGGAGCTGCGGCTGGTGCTGAGGACCTGGACGCTGGTGCTGCTGCTGGTGCTGAGGACCCGGGCGTTGGAGCTGCGGCTGGTGCTGAGGACCCGGACGCTGGTGCTACTGCTGGTGCTGAGGACCCGGGCGTTGGAGCTGCGGCTGGTGCTGAGGACCCGGACGTTGGTGCTGCTCCTGGTGCTGCAGACCCGGGCGTTGGGGCTGCGGCTGGTGCTGAGGACCCGGGAGTTGGAGCTGCTGCTATTGCTGAGGACCCTGGTTCTGGAGTCACTGCACGGTCGCGGCCGTACTTCGTTCCGCTCCTTCAGCAGGTTCTTGGTCAGCTCCCTCCTCCTTGTCCTCCTCCCTCCTTAGGGTGTCCTCCGTTTGTCCGACTGCAGTCGCAGCTACCGTCTGCCTCCTCTCTCCCTGGTCCTACTCCTTACACTGGTCGGACTGGAGGTCTTTGTGAAAGATTAGAAGAAAGAAGAGGGACTGCACTAGCAAGAATGGGGATACAAATAGGAAACCCTAGAAGGGTTGTACTCGTTATAGAGCACCCCACTACAGGCTAGAGCATAAGGTAACATTCTGACAGTCTTACTCAGCGTCGTGAGCCTGAGTCTCGTCCTGCGTCGCTTGAGTCTCGTCGTGCGTCACCTGTCCGTGCAGCTCTCACTGGTTGTCGTGTCCCGCGTCAGCTTCTTCCTGCTGTCCCAGGCACTCACCGGATGGCGCTTCGTCCTTCCACTACTCCACAGCGTGTCCCACTGCCGTCTCCTCCTGCGTCCTCTCTTCCTGCTCTTGCTGACCCGGGGTCAGACTCCCTTCGTGCTGCCAGTCCTACTGTCACGCGTCTCCTAGCTACTGTTGTCACTGACCCTTCCTTTGAGTCCGCTGCTGCGTCTGCCTTCGTTGCTGAGCTTCTCGCCTTTGCTGCCACCTGTCGTCTAGACTACACCGCTAGCCTAGTTGCTGAGTCTGAGTCTGTCTGTCCTCCGTCCGTCGGGGGTGAGTGTCCTCTTGGCACTGACGTCCTTGAGAACAGGCAGGAGGAGTTTGAGTGCTTTGCTGCCCGCTTTGCCCCATCTCGTGTCCATGCTTGTTGCCCCTGAGGGAGACCCGGATGCACCAGACATCCCGACCCCACGCTCTTACGCAGAGGCGATGGCCGGTCCCTACTCCTCTCAGTGGCAGTCGGCCATGGACACAGAGATGGCTTCCTGGAAGTCCACAGGCACCTACGTTGACGAGGTTCCCCCGCCTGGGGCGAACATCGTCAGTGGCATGTGGATTTTCAGGGTGAAGCGGCCGCCGGGCTCTCCGCCTGTCTTCAAGGCGCGTTACGTTGCACGAGGCTTCAGTCAGCGAGAGGGAGTTGACTTCTTCCAGACCTTCTCCCCGACCCCGAAGATGACCACTCTTCGGGTTCTGCTGCACGTCGCCGCTCAGCGTGACTACGAGCTCCACTCTCTTGACTTCAGCACTGCTTTCCTGCAGGGCAGCCTGCACGAGGAGAAATGGCTGCGCCGCCCACCTGGCTTCACTGGGTCGTTCCCTCCTGGTACCCAGTGGAGCCTCAGGCGACCAGTCTACGGTCTCCGCCAGGCGCCACGTGAGTGGCACGACACACTGAGGACTACACTTGCGGCTCTTGGGTTCGCGCCTTCTACTGCTGACCCGTCGCTGTTTCTACGCACCGACGCCTCACTGCCACCGTTCTACATCCTCGTGTACGTCGACGACTTGGTCTTTGCCACTGCTGACACTGCGGCACTCGCCCACGTGAAGTCGGAGCTGCAGAGGAGACACACGTGCACAGACCTGGGTGAACTGACAAGCTATCTTGGCTTGCGGATCACCCGGGACAGAGCACGCCGCACCATCACCTTGACTCAGTCACACATGGTGCAGCAGGTCCTTCAGCGCTTCCGCTTACGTACTCCTCGCCTGAGCCCACTCCTCTGCCTACCGGTCACTCGCTCTCAGCTCTGCCTTCGGATGAGTCTGTAGAGCCGAGTGGCCCGTATCCAGAGCTTGTGGGTTGCCTCATGTACCTGATGACCTGCACTTGACCAGACCTTGCATACCCTCTCGGCATTCTTGCACGCTATGTCGCTCCCGGCCGTCACCGGAAGGAGCACATGGATGCAGCTAAGAGGGTGTTGCGCTACTTGTGCAGTACGTCGGGCATGGGGCTAGTGCTTGGAGGGCGAGTCCCAGTTGTTCTCACTTGGCACTCAGACGCTTCTTGGGCAGACGACCAGGCTACTCAGCGGTCGTCTCAGGGTTACACCTTCTGTCTTGGCTCTGGTTCAGTTTCTTGGCGTTCTACTCGCTCTTCTTCTGTTCTCAGCTCCAGTTGTGAGGCTGAGATCTACGCCACAGCCATGGCGGCCCAGGAGCTACGCTGGCTCACCTACTTGCTGACCGACCTTGGAGAGCGGCCTCGTTCTCCTTCAGTGCTGTACGTCGACAATAAGGCAGCCATTGCCTTGTGTGAGGAGCACAGACTGGAGCACAGAACGAAGCACATTGCTCTGCGCTACTTCCTTGCTCGAGAGCTGCAGCAGCGTGGTCAGCTTCGTCTGCGTTACGTGGCCTCTGAGGCCAATACTGCTGATGTGTTCACCAAGGCGCTTCAGCCTTGTCACCATCAGCGCTTTTGCACTCTTCTAGGCCTTGTGCCTACTGGACCTCACTTGCTTACTTCTTCAGTTTGTTTGTACTGTGATCTCTATATATATATATACCTGCATGTTTACTCTTGCTAGGTTGTAATTCATTGTACCTCTTGTTCTATTATAAACCTGCATGTGAACTGGTCTTGTGACCACGTTCTTGTGCTCGGAATTTGTGTGGTATCCTTGAGATCCACCCTGAGCTTGTTTTGCCTTACTTTGCCTTGACTGGTCTTGTGACCCCGAGTTCTCCCCACTTCGCCTATGGGGGTGTGTCAAACATTATATATGTTGTGCTTGTTTAGGCTATAGTGGGTTAGCCTATAGGGGGTACACAATTCTAAGGTTAGGTACTTGTACTGTTTTCACTGTTAGTTCATTCATTCCTGTTCATTCATTTCAACACCTGTAACCTGGGGGTTAATGACTATGAGAGAATACACACCTTTTGGTGTGAGTTAGATTTTTTTTTAACCAAGAATGTTATGGAGGCCCTTTTTACTACTCTTCTCATATTTCCCCTCTCAAAATCAATTCACCGCGCCCTAAGGGCGTGTAACTTTTTTCGTTTTGGTCAAAAGTCCGAACAGAGCCCCCAAAACGTCCGAACGGAGCTGCGTCCGGACGTTTGGGACTCGGGTCCGGACGACGGCTTGTCCGGACCACAAATGTGAAACCTTTTGCTGTATCGAAAATTTTGATTTTCGCTTCAAAATGTCACACGGATTACTAAATTGTGGACAATCTCGAGTTTCGTCACAATTATATTGCGGCTCCGTACTGGATGAAAGTTTCAATAGATTCGGGCGCCAATGACATCGCAGTAAAGACGGATGGTCCGAACTGTCGTTTTGACGGTATGAACAGTATGGTCCGGACCATTTTTGGGTGAAAAGTGTCAAACATGTGTGAAAATAAGGTGTAGAAGAAGGCGCCATAGCTAGGAAAGGCCCTAGCTGGGCAAGAAACAGTTTAGGCAAAAAGAGGGGTTCACTAACAGGAATGAGGATACAAATAGCAAACCCTAGAAGGGTTGTACTCGCTATAGAGCACCCACTACAGGCTAGAGCATAACATTCTGACAACATGGTCCGGACGGTGGCGACATCGCATAGGTTCTTACGAAGCTTTCAACGAGTTTTAGCAAAATTAGTTACCCTACAAAAGTCCGGACAGGGTCCCTGTCCGGACGATAGAAAGAGAAAAAGTTACAGGCCCTAAGAAGGCGTCACAAATCCCTCGGTCCACCCTGGCTCTATGCGGTCGATGGGGACCAGTCCACCAAACCACATAGGACCCAAGCGTGGACCCGCTCTCTGAGCAATGTGGACCGTGGGTGTAGCAAACCAGCACCCTCGATTTAGCGGGCGAAAGGGACTATAATGGGGAGGATATCCAGGTTCAGCGAGCTGGTCCACGTCGGACCCCTGAACAGTCATAGTATTGGCGAATACTCACGAAATCACCTCTCCCTGTCGCAAAATTTTGGCGCCCACACGCGTCAGGGAGAAGCTGCGCAAGTGTACTGTACAGTCTTCCGTCTTGGTAACCCAGTTTCTCTCGCCTACACGCTACTGTAGAGTGGATCTGCGGACCCAACAACAATGAGTCCGAAGCTGGTTCACTCGGTTGGTCCACCCTGGTCCGACGGACCAGTCCAGGGTATTTCTGTAGGCACAAATTCAGGGACGGACCAGGTTTGGGCGAACTGGCGGACCAGCCAAAGTGAGACACGTCCTAACTTGTACTTACGTCGTTTTCCAGAGAGTGAGAAAATGCGCCAGATGAATCTCCCGTAAGCGCATTCGGCGCTCTGTAGATATTAAGAAGAGGAAACTTTACAAGCGTATACACAAGCTCGCGAGGGTGAGTGTAGCCCCTTCTCGCGCGTCCCCTCCGATCGTCGCAACCCCCCTAATGTCGTCGGCCCCCCCTCCTCCCCTCGTCGCGCCTCCTCTCGTCGCGCCTCCCCTCCCCTCGTCGCGCCTTCCCTATCATCGTCGCGTCTCCCCTCCCCTCGTTGCGCCTTCCTTCCCCTCGTCGCGTCTTCCCTCCCCTCGTCGCGCCTCCCCTCCCCTCGTCGCGCCTTCCCTATCCTCGTGGCGCCTCCCCTCCTCTCGTCCCTCCCACCATAGTTCAGCGCCATCAGCCGTGCACTGTCCTTCCAATCCCTAAATCCGTCCCTCCCCTTCCCATCCCTTCCCTCCATTCCCGTCCTTGCGTTACCAATCCCCCCTTCCCCTGACATTCCCATCCCTTCCCGTCCCTTCCCGTCCCTTTCCTTTCCTTCCCTTTCCTCCCCTTCTATTCCATTCACACCCCTTCTCACCCCCCCCCACTTCCCCCTGCTCTCCCTTCCCTAAATCCGTCCGTCCTTGCATTGTAAAATGCCTTGCCTTCCCTTTCATTTCCTTCCTTCTCTGCGTTCTCTCTCCCCCCCAACCCTGCCCTTTCCTTCCCTAGGTCCTTCCTTCCTGTCCCATATCTTCCCTTCCCTTCCCATCCCATCCCTTCCCTTCCCATCCCATCCCTTCCCTTCCCTTCCCGTCCCGTCCTGCCCATCCCGTCTCGTCTCGTTAACATCCTGTCCCGCTCCACCCCTCTCCCACCTTCTCGTACAACCAGAGCCGCTTCCCCTCACTGCCCTTCGCTTCCCCTCACTGCCCTTCGCTTCCCCTCACTGCCCTTCGCTCCTATGCCCGTTCCGTTCACGCTCCTCCCTTCCCTATTCTCCCCTGTCCTTCTCTCTCACGCTCATTCCCCTCCCTTTCCTCACCTTCCCTTTCCCATCCTTTCCCTTCCTTCCCATCCTTTCCCTTCCCTTTCCATCCTTTCCCTTCCCTTCCCATCTTTCCCTTCCCTTTCCCATCCTTTCCTTCCCTTCCCATCCTTTCCCTTCCCTTCACTTGCAATCCATTCCCTTCCCTTCTCATCCTCCAATGGCTGTGAGCGAAAATTGATGAAGCAGTTCCCCACATCCGGCCCCACCCCCTTGTCACGCCTTCCCCCACTCCACTCCTATTCCCTCTTTCTTCTCCCTTCAGTGCCTTCAAGCGTGGGCCGTGCGCCCCAGCGAGTGCTACTGTGGGACAAGGTGGGGGGCGGGGGAGGGGGGGACAAGTTCATTTACTTCTACAAGGGGTGAGTGTGCGCACTGCATCCCCTACATTTCCCTCGCCTCCCTTCCCTCCCCTCACCAGCCCTCACACCTTCTCTCCCGTTCCCCCCGCTTCCAATCCTTTCCTTCCCTTTCCTTCCTTCCCTTCCTTTCCCTTCCATCCTTCCTTCCCTTCCCTTCCTTCCCTTCCTTTCCCTTCCCTTCCTTCCCTTCCCTTTCCCTTCCCTTCCTTCCCTTCCCTTCCCTTCCTTCCCTTCCCTTCCCTTCCCTTCCCTTCCCTTCCCTTCCCTTCCTTCCCTTCCCTTCCCTTCCCTTCCCTTCCCTTCCCTTCCCTTCCCTTCCCTTCCTTCCCTTCCTTCCTTCCTTCCATTCCCTTCCCTTCCCTTCCCTTCCCTTCCCTTCCCTCCCTTCCCTTCCCTTCCCTTCCCTTCCCTTCCCTTCCCTTCCCTTCCTTCCTTCCTTCCCTTCCCTTCCCTTCCCTTCCCTTCCCTTCCCTTCCCTTCCCTTCCCTTCGCCTTCCTTCCCTTCCCTTCCCTTCCATTCCCTTCCCTTTCCTTCCCTTCCCTTCCTTCCCTTCCCTTCCCTTCCCTTCCCTTCCCTTCCCTTCCTTCCCTTCCCTTCCTTCCCTTCCTTCCCTTCCCTTCCTTCCCTTCCCTTCCCTTCCATCCTTCCTTCCCTTTCCTTCCCTTCCTTCCCTTCCCTTCCCTTCCCTCCTTCCGTCCCTTCCCTCCCTTCCCTTCCCTTCCCTTCCCTTCCCTTCCCTTCCCTTTCCCTTACCTTCCCTTCCCTCCCTTCCCTTCCCTTCCCTTCCCTTCCTTGCCCTTCCCTTCCCTTCCCTTCCTTCCCTTCCCTTCCTTCTTCCCTTCCCTTCCCTTCCCTTCCCTTCACTCCCTTCCTTCCTTCACTTCACTATTCCATCTCTTCCCTTCCATTCACTTCACTTCCAATCTCTTCCCTTCCGTTCACTTCCCATCCCTTCTTCTCTTCCCTTCCTTCCCGTTCCCTTCTATCCCTTTCACCTCCTCCCCCCCTCTCTCCTGTCCTTCACTTCCTTGATCCGTCTCTCTCTGTCCCTTTCATTCCTTCCCTTCCGCCCCCTTGCCATCAGGTTAGCGATCGTTCGTAGCAAAGCAGCGTCCAAATAGCTTTGCTGTTAGGCTTCGCTATCAGAGCCGCAAGTTGAGAGTACCGACAAAGCATTAGTCTCTGCCGACAACTTGCAATTAGCCCGGGAGTTCCGATTTGATTCACATTAGAGTGTCCTGTCAGTTATCGAGCAACACCTGTACCAAACCTCTGTACACGCCCAGCTGCAGGAGCGATGAAGCGCGGGGAGGCGCGGCGGGTGGACGTGGCGTACAACGTGGATGAGGAGGAGGAGGAGGTGGCGGCGGAGGACGCCATGCGCGAGCAGGAGGCGTGGGAGCGCTCCTACGCCAACGACCGGCTCCTGGGAGGCCCGTGCAGGTGAGAGCGCTCCTGGGAGGCCGTGCAGGTGAGAGCGCTCCTGGGAGGCCGTGCAGGTGAGAGCGCTCCTGGGAGGCCGTGCAGGTCAGGGCTGGTCCTTGCACTCACTGCTCTTGCACTAACTGCCCTTGCACTCCAAATTCAACGTCCAGGTTTGCATTCCCTGCACATGCCACCCTCCCCCTCCCCCAACCCACTTTCCTATCCCTCCCCTCACTCTTCCCCCTTCCCCTCCCCCACGCACAACCCTTTTTCCCCATTTCCCGGTGCGCCCAGGAGGACGAGAGTGGGCGGCTGCGGCCGGTGGACGTGGCGGGGCAGCAGCGCAGCGAAAGGGAGAGGCGGCGACGGCAGCAGGCAGGGCAGGCGGGGCGGGGGGGGCGCAGCGGGTGAGGCGCGGCATCATCCGCTACCTCGTGCTCGCTCTCGACTTCTCCCGGGTGGGTGGGCCGCTCTTGGGCTGCTGGAGGTGACACGGGCTGTGATGTGATGACTGGTGCCATGCCATGTCGCTCATGGGATAGGTGGCCTTACTTTCATGTCGTCACACACCGTTGCACTGTGTGCGGTAGAGTGCTGTCAGCAAGTCTTTATCATATCTCCTACCCATGTCCATCCCACAATGGCGTGGAATGACATGGCATGGCATGGCACCTCGCCTCACGTCCCTGCATGGCAGGCAGGCGGCGAGTGAGGTGGACATGAAGCCATCGCGCATGGCAGCCATGGCGCGCAGCAGCGAGGCATTCATCCTCAACTTCTTCGACAGCAACCCCCTCAGCCACCTCGCCCTGCTGCTGCTGCGCGACGGCGTGGCCTCGCAGCTCTCAGAGCTCACCTCGCCGCCCGACGCGCACATCAAGGCGCTGCAGTCCAACCTCTCCGCCTCGGGGCCCGCCTCCCTGCAGGTGCCACCCGCCTCCCTGCAGGTACCACCCGCCTCCCTGCAGGTACCACCCAAGAGACGTGACCATCCATCATGCCTGCCTGTGATGTTTCGCCCTTAAATGTCGCATACAATCACACCCACGTGCTACGATGCCTTGAACTCAAACTCCATCATGTTTCACGGTGCTACCCTGTCGTCTCACCATGTGTCATCACCTCCACTCCACGCGTGACGCCTCTCCCACCCACACGCACGCCTCTCTCTGCCCCTCCTCGTACGGCAGAACGTGGTGGAGGCGGCGGTGGAGGCGGTGGCGCACGTGCCGGCGTACGGCCACCGCGAGCTGCTGCTGCTCTTCGCGGCGCTCGCCTCCACCGACCCCGGCGACATCCTGCCCGCCATCCGCCGCGCGTGCGCCGCCCACCTGCGGTGCTCCATCATCGGCGTGGGCGGCGCCGAGGTGCACATCTGCCGCCAGATCGCCGAGCAGACGGGCGGGCGCTACAGCGTCGCCATGGATGACGTGAGGCCCGCGGGGCTGTGGGGGGTGACGTGAGGCCCGTGGGATGACGTGAGGCCCGTGGGATGACGTGAGGCCCGTGGGATGACGTGAGGCCCGCGGGATGACGTGAGGCCCGTGGGATGACGTGAGGCCCGTGGGATGACGTGAGGCCCGTGGGATGACGTGAGGCCCGTGGGATGACGTGAGGCCCGTGGGATGACGTGAGGCCCGTGGGATGACGTGAGGCCCGTGGGATGACGTGAGGCCCGTGGGATGACGTGAGGCCCGTGGGATGACGTGAGGCCCGTGGGATGACGTGAGGCCCGTGGGATGACGTGAGGCCCGTGGGATGACGTGAGGCCCGTGGGATGACGTGAGGCCCGTGGGATGACGTGAGGCCCGTGGGATGACGTGAGGCCCGTGGGATGACGTGAGGCAGGGATGACGTGAGCCCTGTGAGGCTCTATTCTTGCCCAATTGCCCCATGGAGCAAGCAAAACTCAGCTGGAAATCGGTAAAGTCTTGCTCATTTGGCCTCTGACTTTGGTGCTCTTGTTGTCTCGTTCTGTATCCGACCTGCTGCGTGTGCTTCTGAATCCTGCCTCCTTCCGTCTCTGTCCTCCCTGCCTTTCTTTGTCTCTCCAATCCTCTGCCCTCCGCATTGTTCCCGTCACCCTGCTTCATCCTCCCTCCCCCCCAGGCTCATCTGAGGGAGCTGCTGATGAGCCACGCGCCGCCACCACCGGTGCAGGCGGGCAGTGCGGGCAGTGCGGCCAGCCTCGTGCGGATGGGCTTCCCCCAGCGCGCCCCCGAGGGGGCAGCAGCGCTGTGCGCCTGCCACATGCACCTCCGCCTCGCCGCCACCTATGTGTGCCCCAGGTGCCGGTATGTGTGCCCCAGGTGCCGGTATGTGTGCCCCAGGTGCCGGTATGTGTGCCCTAGGTGCCGGTATGTGTGCCCCAGGTGCCGGTATGTGTGCCCCAAGTGCCGGTATGTGTGCCCCAGGTGCCGGTATGTGTGCCCCAAGTGCCGGTATGTGTGCCCCAAGTGCCGGTATGTGTGCCCCAAGTGCCGTTATGTTCGCCCCACTTGCAAGTTCAGGTGCTATGCTCCCAGACGCCACTCACTCCCTCTCTGAAAGCCATGTTCTTCTTACCACCCATTCCCATTGCATCTCATCTGCATCACTTCCTCCACCTGCCATCACTTCCTCCACCTGCCATCACTTCCTCCACCTGCCATCACTTCCTCCACCTGCCATCACTTCCTCCACCTGCCATCACTTCCTCCACCTGCCATCACTTCCTCCACCTGCCATCTCCAACGTGCTCGCCTTCCCCCTCTCTCTCGCTTCCCCTCTCCACCTGCCACCCCACATTGTCCCTGCATTTCTTCATCCCACCCTTTCACAGCTGCAAGCCAAGGCCCAACTTCGCCCACCTCATGCCACTTGCCTTCCTTCCCCCTCCTCCCCTCTCCTCCTCCCTCCTCCCTTTCCCTCCCTCAACCTCTCCCCCCACCCCCCAGCTCGCGGGTGTGTGCGCTGCCAGCGGAGTGCCCCGTGTGTGCGCTCACGCTCGTGTCCTCGCCGCACCTCGCCCGCTCCTACCACCACCTCTTCCCCGTGCCGCCCTTCTCCGAGGTCCCTCTGCCGCCCGCTCCTAAGCGACCTGCTGGGTCGTCAGCCCCTGCCGCCCCGCACAGCGACCTGCCGCCCGCCTGCTTCAGCTGCACTGCTGCACTGCCTTTCCTCGGTGAGCATGCGCTGCTGGGGGTAGGGCCAGTCATTCGGGTCATTTGTTGCCTCACCCACCTCCATCCTCTGTCTACCCGTCCTCGCTGCCAGCATGTCTGCTCAGTCTTGATTTCCACCTGCCAGTCCACTGCTGCCCACTGACTAACCTTTGACTGACTGTTGACTGTGTCACTGTGCGCAGAGACGGAGGGAGGGGGAGTGCGGGTGGAGTGCCCCTCGTGTGCGCGGCACTTCTGCTTTGACTGCGACGTCTTCATCCACGAGAGCCTGCACAACTGCCCCGGCTGCGAGGCCACCCGCCTGCCCCAAGTGGCGTAGCCAACCACCGGGCCAATTGGGGGAGAGGGGGGGAGGATAAGGTTTCTGCGGTGTATCGACACAATGGCACCAAGCTGGTGTTCAATGTAACTGGCATAGACAAGAATAGGGAGACGAGGGGGAGGAGAGAGAGGGAGGGAGGGGGGGAAGGGTGAGGAGGGGTTTGCGGTGGGGTGTGTTTGTCAAACTACCGGTACCTTTGCTAGTTTCGATATGCTTTAGTGGGTTGCACCAAACTTCTCGACATTCTCTTTGTACTACCCTCTCTCCTCCTTGGTCATATTTACCACACACCTAACTTAGCACCTAGATTCTAAGATGGTATCAGTAGTAGGTTAGTTCCTTCATAGCTTAAGGAAAAAGCTTCCCATATCGCCCGTAACGCATCTCATCCCGTTCGTATCTTGCCCAGTCCGCAGCACGCCTCGTAACGCTCCGTTATGCCCCTTACCGTGCCTTCCCCTATACACACGCGCAGCAGCCCATATATACATCTGTGCGCACATAAGCTGCACCCCCCCACCCCACCCCCCCCCCCCAACCCTTATTCGTCCAGTCCCGCGTGTTAGAAATAGGCTGTCAACACTTTGTGTACTCTACTTTTTATATGCTGTAGGTTATTTGTGGGTTGTGTGTAGATTTGTAATCCCAACCCTATCCGGTTGGGATTCCTCCGTAATCATAGGATTCCCATCACATCCTTTCCCTAAGTTTGCTCAACCCGACCTTGTTTGTAGTTAAGGCGTAATGCTTTCTATTCTAATCAATCAGTTCAGCTTAGGGCCCAAAATTGGTTTAGGCCCACCCTTACAAATCAGGGTTCCAGCCCTCCTTACTCCGACCCCTAGGGTAAATTTTTTTGTACCCTGTTTGCAGCAGGGTAAATCAACCACTAGCCTAATTTGAGCAAGGTAGTTTTAGGCCAACCCTGTTTCAGTTACTATTTTGTGAGCTAAGTTGTTTACAATGACATAATAAAGTAGCACTCACAAAGTCCATGAGCTTTGGAAGAGCCTCACATTCACAACACACCTACTCAGTGCCACCCCCACTGAGAAAAGAGAACGAGGATGAAATGACTAGGGAAAGTTGGGTACAAGTACAAACCCCAGAAAGCTGTACCCCATATGTGCTACCCCACTATAGCCTACAGTAGCTATTGTTGGGAACAAATAAGTCTTAAGGCGCCTCTGTCGTGTCGAAACTCAGGACACTAGCGAAGCAGCCCAAATCGAAGCATCGCGAGTCAACCCTCGGAGGTTAGGGTAACCGCCTAGAGGTTACGGGAAAGTCAAAGGTCAGCGACCTTTGACTCGACAATTACAGCGCGACAGCAAGGACACACAACTGACTCGACATTGAGCAGTTGCCCGAGTCGCACAGTATCGAATCGCAACAGCAAAACGGTTTCAATCTATCTATTCGTATTCCTTGTACTCTTATATAAACCTTGTATTTGCTTGTTTAATCTAACTTACTTTGCTCTCACATACTAGTGCAAGGTGGTTCAACCACTCTGTATTACAACGCTTCCGCTATTACAGTCCTTCAACTCTACAAAGATCCTAGGGCTTCTCAGCCCAACATGGTATGAGAGCAGTTAGAGTTTAAGATCATTTTCTCTCTCAATACTTAAATACAAAGAAAGAAGACATGTCTGCAAGGAAGGAGAGGAGCTCCTCCAACGGCTCCCCAGGCACCACTCCTACTCCTGCCTCTGGCCTACAGACAGAGGAAGGCACTATCGCAAGACCAGCAGCTGGGTCCACGGAAACACCAGCAGGCTTCGATTCAAACATGATGGAGAAATTTTTCTCCTTCATGTCCTTCTACGAGCAACACCAGCAAGGAGTGCCTGCGCAGTCAAACAACAGCAACAACAACAACAATGTTACTCCGATGAGCCTCGACGGCTCATCCTATGCACGCGGGATGCAACAACAACAACAGCAGCCTACCTTTGCGCCGTACGAGCCCCAACGTGGCTCCGTCAGCTTCATGCCGCAACCGCAACCTGCATCGGGACAAGAAAGGACATTGGACGCGTTACAAGTCTAATCGCAATTCGCGCACGTCCTAAAACTACAAACGACAAAGCCTTTCGACGGCAAAGATTTCTTTACCTGGTCGTTCGAGTTTGAACTGATGATGGAAGGAGCACAGATTCTTGGCTTCTTCGACGGGTCCCTGCCATATCCGACAAACGGGACACAATATGAGAAGCAGCAGTATACATATCAATCGATGATGGCGTACACGATTCTGCTGAGGAACATCACCCCAACCCAGCAGCAGAACATCAGGACTTACCGAGGCTACGGCAACTCCGCGGAGCTCGCGTACAACCACCTGAAGAACCTGTATCAAGCAACAGACAGCGTAAACCAAAGCAGGTTAATGGCGCAGTTGACAACGATTGAAATGAAACCAGGCGAGAAAGGCATGGCTTATATCAGCCGCTGCCGCGAACTGCGCGACAAGCTCCTTCGATGCGGCGGTCAATTTCAGAAGACGCCTTTGTCACGGTGGTCATCGGCGGTCTCGGCCCCCACTGGCGCTCCACTCGCGCCATATTACGAGCACACGGGAGGATCTCCGAAGCGGCACTCTGCGCCGAAATTCATGCTGAGCAGCAGGACATGGACCTGCAAGAAGAAAGACACAAGAAGAAAGCTTTAGCACCAGAATTTGCTTTTCACACTGAGCGACGACACAACGGCAACAACAATCGACAACAGCAAGTGAAAACAGTACCTCCGTTCTGCCACATCTGCAAAACCTCAGGCCATCCTCGCACGCATTGCCCATTTCGACAGACGACACCACAGCGACACTGCGGCCTTCAAGCTCCCAAGTTGCTTCAACGCAAGCAAGTCCGATAACCACGATCCAAGCTTCAACGACTTCAACTGGACAACCTGCACAAGGAGCAAGAAGCATCGTCAACTGCATGGTAAAGATAAACGATTCCTGCATTACAGAGTCGCCACCCTACTACTCACCAGAAGAGGAGCTCGACAACAGGACACCTCGCCGCGAATCACTCCAGCCGAATCCGACGTACGCCGCCATCGCTCAAAGCGAACCGTCCGGCCAAGACACTTGGTTCTTGGATAGTTGCTGCGGACAACACATGTGCTCCTCCGGGCGCTTCGTACAACGCGAACATCGACTCCAGCGAGAAGTAGTCATAACGGTCGCCAACAACCAGAACCTGCGCACAAGACGACAAGGAGTCGTTCAGCTTCAATCAAGAGAGACCAACGTTATACTACACATGTCAAAAGTACTCATCGCAGAAGGACTCGGTTACAACTTACTGAGTGTTAGCCAGCTGATGGCGAAGGGGATTCACTTGGAAGCCGACAGCACCACCCAGGAATTTAAGTTATACCACGGGAGGGGCGGCTCTACATCGGGAAAGCAGTGTTGAAGAATAACGTCTTCGTTCTTCACTTCGTCCCCGACCTGGGCATTGCAGACAGCGACGCCATCGTCAACTTTACCGACTGGACACACCCTCCGGACCTCGATCCTGATTTCAGTCCAGGGGGCTTCTGGTACTCACACACCATCCCTGAAGCAGAGCGAACACGAGCATTAGCAACAATTCACAATCGGCAGCAGCAGAGACAACATCGGCAGCAGCAGAGACAACATCGGCAGCAGCAGAGACAACATCGGCAGCAGCATAGACAACATCGGCAGCAGCAGAGACAACATCGGCAGCAGCAACAACATCGGCAGCAGCAGGAACAACGACACCAGTCATCGTCGACGAAACACCACCAACACCCGCACAACAGCTGAACCCGACTCAACGAGAAGTCCACCGCAGCGCCAACTTCGTCGCCAGCTTCTACTCCAACTCCGACGCATATCAACGTTCACCCGGACACCGCGCCTCCGAAGACATCTGGCACGCACGCACAGGACATCCAAGTAACACGGTGTTAAATAATACGATACGGGCAGGAGTGCTAGACAAGACTCGCTACTACTACTCGACGGCAGAGAACTTCAACGTGCACGGGGGACTTGCCTCATCTGCCCCGAGGCCGACTTACCACATCGACCTTTTTCTTCTCACCACAACCCGAGCGCACCTGCATACACACCACTCGAAAAAGTCTATAGCGACCTCCTCTACAATCAAGAACCAGGCCAAGTAACCTATAATTACACGATTACCTTCATCGACGCCGCCACTCGATACGTCTGGCATCGCAACCTACCCAGCCGCGACATGGCACTCGCAGCATTCGCCGCTTAGCTACCGGTAGCAGAAAGGGAATCAGGAACGCAGCTGAAAAGCTTCCAGTCAGACGGAGGTGGCGAATACACCTCTCAGCGTTTCAAGCAGTACCTGGCGGAAAGGGGGATCAAGCAACTCCTCTCCCTTCCCTACGCACATCAGCAGCAGGGTGTTGCAGAAAGAATGAACAGGACCCTGCAGAACAGCATGCGCAAACTACTACGTGGCATGCGGCTACCCAACCACCAGTGGCCAGCAGCAATGGACCATGCTGTCATGCTGCACAACTTGCTTTCGTCGTCGTCACTCCCAAACAACGCATCACCGCATCTGCTGTGGACAGGAAAGCAGGGCAGCACAAAAATGTTACGAGTATTTGGGTGCATGGTACAGTACCGACCCCCAGAAGCACGAGCGGGAAGATTTTCGCAACGGGCACAGTGGGGACTACACCTCGGCATCGAGAAAAATTACAACGCGTGGAGAATCTTCGACGTCCACACAAAAGAACAGTAGCAGCACGTGATGTGATCTTCTACGAACGACTCACCCTTCAGACGTACCTCGCCAACTTGCACGAGAATCGGGACCCCACAGGTGGCTTTCGTGGTGACCGAGCCTTCGCCTCAGCAGCGGACGAAGCACACTGGGATGAACAGAACGTCGACAACGCATCGGAGGAAGCCGGACCTCTCCCGTACTGCTCCGTCGATGTGCCCATGGATGAAGATAATCCTCGCGACAG